TCGAATATCTACCATTAGGCTTACACTTATGAGTAATTTCAAGTAGATTGAATGTATATTTGTAAATTAAAACGCCATCTATTGCGTAAAAAAGACTTTAAAAGTAGAGTACTGAGAAGTTGGCTACGTAAAGGACCGGAGGAAAACAGTGATAGAAAAGAGTTAAACAGGTAAAAATCAGTAAAAGCATTGTAAAGTTGCCACTAATTAAAAGAAAATAAAGCGTTAATTACTGTAAAGAGATGTGTTAAAAATAAAGAAATTAGAAGAAACATTACCGAGAAAAGAGTCCGAATAGTATGACGGGTACGAATTACGATGGCAGTTATCAAATTATATTATTTTTCCAAATCAAATTAAGATTATAAAGTAGTATGATATTTCGGCAATAATCATATCATTCGTATCGACACAATTTCTTCATATCGAAGGAAGTGTCTGGAATCAGCAAAACAGACAGAAGTGAAAAACAGACGGGCAGCTGGACAAAATAAATAAAATGACGTAATTACTTGGCAAGAAGTATCTACCGTGGAAAACTATGAGTTATACAAAAAATAAAGAAAATTAATAAAACGTAGGTAATGGCAGCAAAGCGAAAGAGTTGAAAAGAATTCGGAGTAAATGGAGTCCATGGGTAAAGAAAATCAGAAACGTTTTTCTAAGATATTAAAAACACTGAAAAAAGTACAGACAAAAGACACAATTAGCATTATAGACAAAGAATGATAACCACTGATGAAGAGGAATTAATAATACGAAGATAAAACAATTCTTTCAAGAATTATTAGGAGAGAGCATGGAACAAGAAAATATAAAAGGAAAAACGAATGATTGAAGAATAACAATGAAAGAATTAAAATAGCCGTAGGAGAATTAAGAAGAATGCACTAGTTATATCTATAGATAAGAAGAGATATAAAAAAAATTGTAATTATTATAGAAGGATAACGCTTTTGTATTCATCCGCGTATGCTAGAAAAATCACAGAGTGGATTTAGAGAAGGTAGAAACACACAGGATCATGTGTCCATAATACATTATATTACATTACATAAATTACATATCGGGTAGGCGGACGATAGATAACGTTATCAAATTTCACCAATGCTCTTAACGAACATTAATATTTTGCTCGGTGAAAAGTCATTCAGATCCTATGGGAAGATAAACTGCGATGCAAAAATCGAGAATCTGATACGATTAACAGCAGGGCAGTGGCATAAAACATGCTCTACCATTTCGTCGTCCTCCCCACGTAGTCGGCATTCAACATCGTCGGCTAGACCCAACAAATTGAAGTGTATTTTTAATCGGCAGTACCCAGTAAAGACACCCATTAGAACTTTAATGCTGCTACGAGCAAGTCCTAAAATATTCCTTGGTTTAGCAGGAGAACCAGGAGAACCTGGTCCACAGTAGGCTAAGTCTCTCTCCAGCCCACAGTTCAATCCTATGTTTGGCCATCGCAAATGATACACCAACTGCTGGTTCTGGCCCCACAAACGCTTTAGCGCTGCCCTCTCGTGCTAGCTCATCTGCCGTTTCATTGCCAGCAACCTCAGAGTGACCTGGAACACAGATCAGAGAAACTCTGTTATCACAACTCAGTGTGTTTAATGTTCTTTTACAGTCATTAACCAGATCCGACACCGTTTTCACAGCCTGCAGCGCCTGGAGAGCGGCTTGACTGTCTGAAAAAAGTCGTAATGTCATGTTCTTCACCCCTCTCTCAAGAAGAATTTTGGCACCTATGTCAATACTAAATACTTCCGCCTGGAATACAGTACAGTACGTACCCATGCTGTAAGCTTACTTAATCCGAGGTATCTGACAGTACACTCCTGCCCGATCCCTTCCGGAGTTTTTGATCTATCTGTGAACATGCAAATATATATAGATTAAAAGGTCATACCTATGGGGAATCAATATGTTTCGAATCTAATGATTCTTCTTTTTTGGCACAACTAAAATTAAGATAAACAATGCGAAATAACATATAACTACTGCATAATGTATTAATGTTAAAATGTAATAAAGGTAATTTACCAAAAATGCATAGGGCTACCCAAAAATATTCATAGGGCAAATCGGTAGGAACCTCTTAACCCGTATCAAAGAACACACTACTAAAGAAAATTCAGCTGTCTTTAAACATAAACAAAAAACGTCACATAACATTTCTGCTGCAAACATAAAATTGCTGAAGAATCTTAAAAAAATCAAGAGAGATGGACCTTTATGAAGAGTTACACATTAATATGTATAATGAACGATTTCGTTGACACTAATAACAATAGATACCTTTTGACTTTCCTGTGAAAAAACAAAACTACAATATCGCATGTTTCGCGATGAAAATATAATTTTAAAAACCTGTAACACCCGCACATGCTCAATTAGACTCCACTTTTCTCCTTCTATCATGGTTTGACCTTCTATGTAATACTTGTTTTCTCTTCGTGTGATTGTCATGTTGTGATATTATTAATAATATTTCACAAGCGGTTTAGAATGTTTTTATTCCATCAAACAGCATAATACTTTTGACGGTAAATTACATTCATTATATTTTATAATTTTTACATTAATACATTATGCAGTACTTATATGTTATTTCCTATTGTTTACCTTAATTTTAGTTGTGCTAAAGAAGAAGAACCATTAGATTCGAAACATATGTAGCAGTGATTTAATAAAGAAATTTATACATCGATTCAACTTGTGACTTTTTAATCTATGATTTCTACGATGTGCCTGGAATCCACACTAGATAAAAATGCAAATATCTGCCTGAAACAGAGAATTTTCGTTTTCGACCCAGGACTGCCGTTCAGAAAATATAATCTGGTATCGACCGTTAATCACTGATAGTGACCCGCCAAATCTGACGGCATTGGTAGCACAGTATCAGTGCTTATAATATCTTCCGCAGCACATTGGTGTCTTACCAATGACAGTATGTCGGAACACAAGATGTGTCGGAACAGTTTTGAGCATATTTCTTAAATCTGTAAATGGTAATTCTAAGCACTTTCTCTATATGCAAATGCAAAGGAGATAGGCCAAGCAGAACGTCCATTGCTAGAGTCGGCATTGTGCTTACCGCACTAGAGATTGCCAATGTGAAAGTGAAAGTTTACTGATAATGAAGTCTGTCGAATTTTTCCATACCAGGCTGCTGCTCCGTATGTGATCATAGGTCTAACCACAGTCACATAGAGCCAGAACAGTCTTTCAGGGGTAAGACCCCAATTTTTTCCATAAAGACTGCGACAAGTCCACAAGGATAGTCTAGGTTTGTGCAAAACTCCCTGCAAATGTCCATTCCATGACAGGGTTTTGTCTAGGATTACTCCTAGATATTTGACTTCCTTTGAGAAAGGAATTTCTTTACCTTGCATAGTTGGGCGGATTAGTCCATCCTACTTTCGTTTCCTGGTGAAGGGCACAAGAATTGTCTATTGCGGGGTTATTGAGAGGTTCTCTCCTTTACACCAAGCGCAAATGGTATCTAGGGTCACCTGGAGGACTTTAGATATCCTCGGCAAACAGGTTCCTTTGACCATAACGACAATGTCATCAGCATAAGCTTGTATTTCCACACCAACGGCTTCGACTATCGCAATCAGATCGTCAACTAGGAGGGACCAAAGCAGGGGAGATAACACCCCTCCCTGCGGGCAGCCACCTCCCGGCCTGAAGCGTATGGTATCACCGTGGAGTGAAGTAGAAACTATTCTACTATCTAGCATGTTGCGGATCCAACCCGCTATAGTTGCTTCCACTCCCCTGTCATGAGCAGCTCTTTCAAGAGATTGTGGTATTGCGTTGTTGAACGCTCCCTCTATATCCAGAAACACACAAACCAAGATTTCTTTATCCTGCAGCGTCCTGGATACTCTACCAACTAAGTTGTGTAGACACAGTCACATAGAGCCAGTACAGTCTTTCAGGGGTAAGACTCCGATTTTTTCCACAAAGGCTACGACAAGTCCACAAAGAATGTGTTCATAATAAAACAAATAATACATAAATGAAAAGTTCTATGAAAAAACGGATGTTTCGCATTTATTGACTTAGAAAAAACGTTCGACAGCATACCATAAAAAAATTATGGGAGATACTAAGGGATCGAGGAATTGACAGTAAAACCACCAGAGTAATAAAAAGTATATACAGGCATAATATAAACTATATGGTATATAAAAATATGAAATCTGAACCTTTCATAGCTCTAGGAAGCATTGAGATGAATAGGAACAAAATGATCGAGGGAGAGAAGGAACATGAACAAGTTAGCATAAGATAGAGTATGTGGAGCTAAAATAGGTTAGATCATTTCAATATCTAGAAGTGTAATAATTTAGGATATTAACAATAGAATTGAAAAAGCACTAAAAATTTACCATGCCCTGAACCTAAATTGTCTTTTGGGGGCGAGATATGGGTGTCAACAAGACAGCAGAAGATCAAAATATAAGCGGCTGAAATGCAGTATCTAAGGCGAGAGGGATTACGAGAGTACACAGCATGACAAACATAGCTATAAAACAAGAATCCGTAGTTGAATCTATATTCTAGACAGACATGAGACGAAGTTATGAGGGACGCGATGGAGTGGAGAGGAATAGATTTGATGGAAACTAGAATATTGGGGAGAGAGTAAAAAATAAATAAAACAGGATTTATCGACTAAGGTACCTTAGGGTAATATGGCCCAGTCTCAGTTCAAATGAGTGCAAAAATGTTTAAATCAGATTTATTCAGAAAATGTTTTGGTAATGTTAAAAATTAGTTCAATACAAAACATTATACTCTTATACATTATACATTATACTCTTATAAACAATATTAAAATAAACTATATTCGCTTCCACAACAAAAACTTTAGAACCCTCGAATTGGGCCATATTTCCAACTATTAACTGAAATATGGCCCAGGCAATTTTTTAAAGATCGAATATATGGCCCTATGGTTAAAGTAACCAAAACGAGTATTAAGCACATTTAGGGCACACATAGTCTTCGGTATCTTCTAGCACTAGTCCCCCACAAACTTCATGTACCCAGGTATTATACCGAATACAACGCCGCATGTCTCGTTTGCAGTCCTCGTCGCATAAAAAACAATACCAAGCTTCTTCATCGTTCTTATTTTGTTTCTCTTCAATTGGCGGATTTGTCCCCTTTCTAAATAAATCTGTTTTTAATAGCTGGGCCTTATAATTGACTGCTTTTCTTCGAGGATTTTTCGTCTGCTTAGCAGTTGAAAAGTCTGGCGTCTTTAAAATGTCAGCAAATGATTTTTTCTTTGGACTTTTCTTCGGTACAGCAGCGTTATCCCGGTTAGGTTGTTTCACAGTTATGACATTAAGTATCTTTATCTTTGGTGTAGCAGAATCGGTTTCCTTGTTGGCATTGGTCCATGAGGAACAACTGGGACTAGGTTGATGTGATGATTTACCTGTAGAAATCGGGCCTCCTTTTTGCTTAAAATGAATCAGTGGGATATCGTCTTCATCATCAGATTTTTTTGGTTCTGCTTCAGTTTCTTGCTGTTTGTGTGTAAGAAGTGATCGACTAAAAGCATTTTCTGGGATGACTGATGGGTTGAATGGGTATATCCCTGTTGCTCGAAAACCATTTTGGATGTTTGAAATTAACATACGTTGTTGCCACACTTTATTGAAGACAATCCCGAATCTATCCTTCTTTAGAGTTCGGCAAGGAACATTTGTTGCTTCCCAGTAATTCAGCAGTTCGGTGTCCCAATAATGTTCAAAGGATCGAAAAACAGCGTAGTCTAGTGGTTGCAATTCGTGGGTTGTATTTGATGGTAAGCAGTACAAGGACACATCAAACTTTTCCGCTTCTTCAACAATGGAGATATCTAGGTGACAGGAAGCACCATCAATGACTAAAAGAACTCTTCTTGCTGGCTTGAATTTTGCAAAATGTTGTAGCCAAACAATAAATAACTCCCTAATCATGTTCCCTTTTGCAGAAATTTGAACAGTGGAACCAGGGGGAAGGTTGTCTGAATAGGTATCCTTTTTTCTTAAATCTTTGAAAATAATCATTGGTGGTACCGCTCGTCCCAGTGCGTTGACACAAGCTACTACTGTCACGTTTTCAGCATGTTCATTGGCTAGTAAATGAATTCGGCGTTCTCCCTTTTCTGCTAAAACCTTGTGAGCATGGTGCAAAGTTAATCTGCAACCCTTTTCATCATCATGTACGATGGTTGGGTTCAGTTTTTGAGCTCTAGCGATGTTCATCATCTGCGGCTTCCTCTTGGCGATGTTTGGGTGCCTCTTTAGAAACGACTTGTACCAAGTAAATCCAGCAAGTTCCTTCTCATTGTTCAATTTGTGGCCGATATTTGCTTCTTGACTAAATCGGAAAACGCTTCTACGAACTGTTCTTGGAGTTAATGGGAGTCCCACTCGAGACATCCTTATTATTCTTGATTCTAAGTCTGCTTCCTGTTCCTCATTTAATAAAGGTCTTCGTCCAAGCTTCCTTTTTGCATCCCCAGTTTTGATGTGATTTCTCAAGGTGGTGCGTGGAATACCGCAATGTTTTCAACATATCGTGGATCGATGGCCTTTTCTAATCAATTCTAGTGCTTCTGTTCAGCATTCCAGGTAGCTCCTATACCTTTGCACACTTTTCCCATGCTGTAAAAAAAATAATAAAAACTCGTAAATTTCGTATTCGAATGCGGTCGGAAATATGGCCCATTATCGTTTTGTTGTGGGCCATATTTCCGACAAGCACTTCACCGACATTTGGGGTTATAATTTGTGAACAAAATAAACAAAAACTTTTACTGAGGCAAAAATCAGAAAAATCAGATAAGGGGCTACAAATTATAGCAATGACGTTTTCTTACCTGATTAGCCGCTTTACCCAAAGTTAGACGATCTCAAACACAGTCAAAAGTAATAAGAACACATGTGCTTTCTGTAAATTGAAGTGTAGCAAGGTCACCAATCGCCAAGGTTGGCTATTCTGGTTGTCAACAGGCACTACAAACCTAATAGAACCTATCAGGCAGTCACTTGTCAACAGATGGCGCTCAAGAAAAAAATTAGTACGAATGGGCCATATTTTTGTCCGGGCCGTATTACCCTAATGTACCTTAAGAATGTGAAACCTTAACAGCAAAGCGGGCAAGAGGAACAACTGGAAATTATTTTGAAATTCGTATTTCGACCGCTAGGGGTGCAACTGCCATAAAAAAAACATAAAATTATCGCTATCTTGGCAAGTTAGATGATGAGCTAAAACTTTGACTACATCATTTGATAGCTTGGACAATATCGCATCGCTTTTGCTTTGTGACATTTTCCATGCGTTTTCAAATATTTACATTTTAATATCTCCTGAATCATTCAACAGATTTGAATATTTTTGGTCTTGTTTGAAAGAGATAGCTTTTTTTTAAGATATTTTTTACAGGACCGTCTGCAGCGATTATATATTATTCTTGTGATCTTTGAAAAAAAAATAAATGGAACGGTACTATCTACTTCATTGACTCTTACAATTAGTCACCATAAAATTTGCAAAATTTTAGTAAAACGGCATCACGATATCTCCATCCGTTCTCAAATTATAAAAGAAAATGAATAAATCGGATCCAATTACCTTACCGAGAAAAACACATCATATAGACATGGTAACTGTAAGCTTGTCATTTACTAATGCAGAAGCGTACGATATGTTACGGATTTATTTTCCATATTTCGATAATGCTGCAATTGGGTCGCAAGAATACGCAATGCAATTTCCACAAAGAAGACATTTTTCTCGAAAAGTGTTTTCAAGATTGGCTAAGCGATCACGCGAAACTGGCAACGTGCAGTCCATTCAGATTCTTCTAAGAATTCGTACATCACGCATCGAGGAAAATATTATTAATGTTGTAGGAAATACATATTCCGCAATCGAATTCAAAATTCTGCGCAATTTAACAAATTACTGAGGTTACAACACATTAACAACTTGTTTCTCTCCCAGTGTAATAACAATTTAGAGAGATTCCAGAGCTACTCTTAAAACGTCCATTATTGCTAGATGTAACAGTTTTTTCTTTTAAGTCTGATTTTCTTTATAGACATGATACATGGCGGTATGACATGTACATTATGTTGGTTACAAAAGAATATAAAAAGGAAAAAGGAAAAAAAACAACTAGACAGTATGTGAAACAGAGAATTATACATAAAATAAAACTAAAACTGAAGCCGCTCGTCCGTATTTATGATAATGTTTCGAGCGAGGAACTTATACCTCTGTTTACTGAACACAAATAAGTCAATGCCGAGAAGATCTACTGCTCTCACCATTCTAATGATAGGAGGAACAGATGAGTTCCTATTTAGGACGTTATTGCCAAGTGTATAGTTATAAGAGATATGATTCTGTTTTTCAGTAAACGTTATAGTTACACATTTAGATATATTTAAAACAAGACAGTTATCAGAACAGAACCTGTATAAATCGTCATGGTCACTCTGCAATTTGGCGCAATCATTTATACTATAAATAGGGAGAAACAATTTAAGGTCGTCAGCATACATGAGACAGCAGCAATAAGAAAAGGGGCCAATGACGTCGTTAATGTAAAGAAGGAACAACAGAGGCCCCAGATGGCTGCCCGGAGGTACACCAGAACCGATTAAAAAGGCACGTGAACAAAATCCACCAAACCGCACGACAAGAGTCCGTCCCGAAACGTAAGAGGTAAACCAGTCCAGCAAATACCCAGTAACACCAGCGCTATACAACTTACCGCATAACAAGTTATGATCTACCTTGTCAAATGCTTTGCTAAAGTCCGTGCATACCGCGTCTACTTGAACGTTGTTGTTCATAGAAGAATACAGAAAGTCAACATACTCGAGCATGTTCGTCTCGATTTTATTCTGGCCGCTTCAGGATAAAAACCGTGTTGATTGACATTAATAGTATTTATCAACTGAAAAAATAATCTCAAGTACAGTCGTGTTCTCGGGAAATGCACACTCAAGGTCAAGCGCTGTTGTAAGCGCACACGAAGCTCGAAGCTCGTGGCTCGTGGCCGCTCGGCTCAGCCCGTTTAATCAGCGGCATGTCGCATCTCACAACAGCGGTTGACCTTGAGTGTGCATTTCCCGAGAACACGACTGTACATCAACCTTTCAAATATCTTTGCAAATAAGGGCAAGATAGAAATTAGACGGTAGCTCTTAGCCAGGTGTCGGTCACCAGATTTGTAGACTGGTACAATATTCGCGCATTTCCACGCTAAGGGAAAGACTCCAGTAGTGATGGACAAATTAAAAATTTTCATAAGACGAATAATAAGGACCGAAGGAATACAATCTGATCCAGGACCCTTGCTGGGTGCTATTATTGTTATTATTTGTATTATTAAACATATTATTTATTGTTGTTGCATGCAATCGATGGCAGTAATATAGGTAATAAAAAATAATATATTATATTGCAAAACTTGTTAAATAATAATAATGCATCTCTTCTAAAATAAACACTTTTCAATTAAAAATATTTCTCACTATTCAGACTTTATAATAACATAAACATTAGAAATTAATTTCACGTTGGAAATTGGGAAAACTTACACTTGTATCTAATTCGTGATATGGAAGTGAAATCTCTAACTGATGATCAATGTCACTTATACATCTAAGAAACTGAGCGTTCACTTTTTGCTGGTGACTTAATACTTGTTCATAGTAGCCAGTGAAATGAAATGGTGCAACGAAAGCAGCCTCCACTTCTATACAGAAAAATGTCTAAACTCTAAACTCAAAATGTGAAAATGTAGCTTCTGGGTTTTACTATGAAGCTGTTATGTAATACATAATTTTTTATTAAAATTGGAATATGTATGAAATTTGTAATATACATTTATTATAAAAAAAACAAACATTTGTTGATTTTAAATCGTATGAATTTCAGATTGGGACTGATGGCCATGGTACAAGATATTGTTTAATTCACACTTTGATTGCCTACATTTCATCGCACAAAAAGCTTAGAAATAAACTTATAGGTCTTTCTTACAATATACTCATACAAACAAGATGGATTTTGTTCATAAAATAGGGCGATTTTGTGCTGTTCGCTTCCGATTGGTGGTATTGAATGGACGTTGTATTAATAAATATAAAATCAGTGGTAATCCCGTTAATATAGGTATTGTTCGTACTACAAACATTAAAGCGAAATTTGCGAGAGACCGGGCCGTTTCCATAGCGTAATCACTACGGACTTTATAGTTTCAAACGTGTTTTGGATGCGATCGATTGACTTTTATTCATATCATTCGTAATAAGAGCGACACAGAGAGTCATAATTACGTCGCACAATCGGTTATAGAAATGACAGCATAGTTCTAATGAATAATTAATTTATAATGAATTAATCTTTTGCATAATTACTTAATTTCTAATTACGTATTTAATTAGTTTTATATGTTTTACGCGCACACTTGCGATATGACAATAATAGTGGTATAACTTCTAGTTTACAAAGTTTTTTCTGCAAAGAGATGATATCAAATATCCCATATAAATAATTGCTAAAATATCAATGCAACTTTTAATTAATTAACTCCCGCGATCCTCAATACTCTAATCTCAAAATTATTTTTTTGCCTATAATTTTAAATTCAACTAGTGCACTCTACAAATAGATAGCCAAAAGAATGAAAGATGGAATCTGTATTGTCGCTAGTTTCAGAAATTATGGCAAGTTAATGTATAATTTTATTAAATAACCTTGCTTTCTACTCCTATTATACTATATATTACCAGAAATGCTTTTTCTGAAGGATATAAAAAATTATAGTTGAATAAAAGCCAGCAATTTCGAAACTTTATATCTCAAAAATTGTAAGTAACTGTTGATAACAAGGAATCGGTTTATGACGTAGTTTCAAAGTTAACAAAAAAAATATTAAATAGCCTATTTTGTATTTCCGGGAGGTATTTAGGCATGGAATGTTAAACGAGATCTACTTTCATCATATATATTTATCACTTTCAAAAACGTTGGGAATTTTTTTAAAAAGCGATTTATTGTTCGAAGTCAAAAATGAAGCTTATTTTATTACATAAAAACCAAGACTTAATACAAAGGATTATAGACGTGACTTATATACTATTTTCTTTATCTTTTACGGTGTCAGCATTTTTCTTATTGTTGTGGCGTGTGTTAACTATACATTTTTTTCGAAATGTTTATAATAACCGCACTGGAACTGTTTAAAGTCAACCGCTATTGTCCAATAGCGGACGACTTTGATTCACCGAAAAAGTTTATTTCTCTTCCCGTGTCGAATCTATTGGTAAGTATAGTGAGAAACGTATTTCGACCGGCGCGGCGGTTGGGCCGATTACGTGAATCTGATTTACGATTTGCCATTGGACGTCGAAAAACAGTTCCCATGCGGTTATTATAAACATTTCGAAAAAGTTTATTAGAAAGATCGCTTCAGAATAATGTATCCTACAACCGTATAATGCTCTGATACGGAAGATACCGGACAGCCTGTATATATGTTACGGTTACTACCAAATGTCCACCATATTTATACAACAAAATTCAATTTCGAACAGACGTTCATAATATTAATATTAGGCACAGACATACGTTAACAATACCCCAGCATCGACTGGAAATTTTTAAAAGATCTTTCACGTATTGTGTGCCTAATTTGTTGAATAACTGTCCACTTTCGGTCTTGCAGGAATCTGAGCGGGTTTTCAGGGTGATATATAGGTCTGAGTTATTGAATGAGCAGAATTGTGATGACATATGAATCAATTTTTTTTTTTTTTTTGTTTTTTCTCTTTTTTCTTTCTTTTATTGTTTTTTCGTGTTTCTTCTCCTTTCCTTGTCTTAGCTCTTCTTATTTACTAGAAAGCTAGTCTTACTATTATGTATAATTGGTATTAATTTTAAGTTTTTGGTAACAACTAGTCTTTCTATTTCCGTTTGCCGTCATGAAGTTTAAGTTTANGTGATAAATCTCCATATATTAATCAGTTTTACCGGATATTATTAATATTTTCTCAACGTGGTTGGTTAAAGTAGTAAAACACTATAGTTTTGTATATCAAACATGTTTTTATTAAAAAAACTTATTAAAGAATAAATTCTTATTAAAAAAACTCAATGCTGAAGTACTTTATAAAGTTAAACCAAGTCTTTAAAGATAAGTTAATTCTCATATAATTTATAATTATTTATTATTGCACGATCGAGTTTTATGACATTTTGAATTACAAAGAATATGTAATTTTTTGCATTTGCATCGATTCGAATTGCATTCAGCAGTGCAATTGCAATGTTGGAAACCTTGTCCACCCAAATTTGAGCCCTTACGAGCACACTCTCTAAGAGTAATGTCAGTTTCTAGTACTTCGTTAATCGAAATAAATTTTTCTTTACAGATAGTAAATTCATTCCTTGAATACAATTGATTTAAAGTATCGTATTTTGTACCTAGCTTATAAAAACTATCCTTTTCAACAGAAATAATAACAGCTATTATATTTCGGCTATCTGCTTTGGCTCGATCAATTTCTGGTACTTTAATTCTAACGCTTTGGCCTATTTCGGCAACTGGAAATTTTGCATTAGAACGTTTCAACATTTTGTCAGCTTGCTTCTCTAAGGACTGTTTAGCGAAATTTCGAGCTTCCAGAATTTTTTGTGAAACTGTATTGGTTGTCGTATTACCAACAAATTGTGGGTCTTTACTTTGGCTTGCAATGAGAGAATTTTGTTTATTTAAAGCTACAGATTCAATTTCAGCAGATTGTGAGACCTGCAAATCTCTGAATGTACGGTCACTACTTTCATTGCTACATCGCTCTGAGTCAGTAGCAACATCTTCACTTTGATGTTCAGGATGATTATCATATTGCTGTTTTAAAATTGACTCAGGTTCTTCTTCACGTGTTATTTTTGACAATGTATCAAAAGCTGGCAAGAATATTTTCAAACCCACTTTAGCTTTACTACCAAACATAGCTTCATAAGGACTTTGGTTTATTCCGGAGTGATGGACTTTGTTCTTCATGAACTGTATAAATTTTAATCCTTCCGACCATTTTGTAGTTTTGTTTGTCTCCAACAATGTAGATAACATCTTCTCAATATCCTGGTTAGCTCTTTCAATAGAACCTTGTGATTGACTGTGCCGCGGCTTTCCGTGCACAATTTTTGGTTCATTCCACATGTGACACAACTCTTCAATTACCTTATTTGCGAATTCTCGCCCATTATCAGTATGTAATATACAAGGAGCTCCAAATATTGTGAACACATCTAACAAGTGGTAAGCAACTTCTTCGGCACGCTTGGTTTCTAGTGCTCTAAGCTGTAAAAATTTTGTCGGGTGATCTTGATATACCATAATGAACTTAAACTCGCCATCTGCTTGAGATTGCATGTCGATGAGGTCAGCTTGGCATCTCGAATTAAATTAGTTGCATTTAATGGGCTTAACAACTAACCCTTTTTTTGGATACTCACTTTTTTTTGACACGGTTCACACATATTTAAATAAACGACGACTATTTCTATAGTGATATTCTTGTACTTGCTTTTCAGTTCTTTCAACATTCGATTTCGCCCTCCGTGACCGATAGAAATATGGGTTTCGTGAATAATATCAAAAATTTCTTCTAAATAGATGTAGTAAATTATTTGATCCCTTTCATTTTTCACCGGTACTATAAGTTTTTGTACATTTCCAATCTCTACCGTATCATACCTTGATAATCTCTGATAATCTTCGGGTGACTTGTAAGAAATCTTATTCTTAGATGCTTTCACTTTGGTCAGAAACGAAAAATACTCATCTCGCGAAAACAACTGGTGATTTTTCCCTTTCTTCATTTTAATTTTATAAATTTCCCGGTTAAATCTTGTTTTAATAACCTCCAAATCTCCTATTTTAAGATAGGGCATACAAAACCAAATTAAACTGCAATATAATCACTATAAAATATAGAGTATACAAAATATAACAAAACTACGATAAAATTACCATGAAAACGTAAGATCACTCGATCGCTCTCTTAACCCCTCACTGTGTTCGTGTTTTGCACGTAAATGACAAGTCACTGCGTGTTTACGATTAACTCTTTTAAAATTTACCGCAGCTATGTNTTTTTCACCGGTACTATAAGTTTTTGTACATTTCCAATCTCTACCGTATCATACCTTGATAATCTCTGATAATCTTCGGGTGACTTGTAAGAAATCTTATTCTTAGATGCTTTCACTTTGGTCAGAAACGAAAAATACTCATCTCGCGAAAACAACTGGTGATTTTTCCCTTTCTTCATTTTAATTTTATAAATTTCCCGGTTAAATCTTGTTTTAATAACCTCCAAATCTCCTATTTTAAGATAGGGCATACAAAATCAAATTAAACTGCAATATAATCACTATAAAATATAGAGTATACAAAATATAACAAAACTACGATAAAATTACCATGAAAACGTAAGATCACTCGATCGCTCTCTTAACCCCTCACTGTGTTCGTGTTTTGCACGTAAATGACAAGTCATTGCGTGTTTACGATTAACTCTTTTAAAATTTACCGAAGCTATGTGTAAATTATTAATAATAACCGGTCAATGTGATAAATTTGTTACTTTAACCCTGCATGTTAGTTAGTATTAATAATCAACGGTACTTATTAATAGTTTTCAATTAATCACAGTAACCGTAACATATACACCCCTCAACTACATACTCGAAATAATTCACAACAAGAGACGAATATACAGAGAATATAAACGAACAAACAACTAACAGAATACTAAAAAATGAACTAAACAGAGAAAACAAAAAGATTCAAAAATAGCAACTGGATCGCTGGTTAGACACATGCAAAGAAATAGAAACGGATCGGAAAATCAAAAAACTAATAAATTACAAGAACACCAACGACTAAATATATTGACGAATGGTACACAAGATTTTTAACTATTCAACCTATTCAACACCTATCAAAAGGGAAAAGTTCATGCCCCAGATTGAATTTAATAATCAAAAATTATAAGGTTTTCTGCACGCAAAACCTTATATTCCCATCAACATGGAAAAAAGCTACAATTATAACAATCCCCAAACCTGGAGCAAACCATTCTCTTCCACAAAGAATTCTTCACCTTATCATAGACTTATTATTCCCACAACTGACACACAAGTAACGAACCTACATCACCGAAAAACCGCGATCTTATTTCTTGACATAAATAAAGCCTTTGACACAGTCTGGTACCAGCGCCTACCTGAGAATTATAGATAGAATATCTTCGCGGCTGGGAGCTATCATCAAAATTAATAATGCTACATCCATCCCTTTCTTCCCTCTCCAAGGAGTACCGCAAGGATCCCCAATCTCACCTACCCTGTACAACGTCTACTGCTATGATATATACCCTCCAACCCATCCAGACACCAACTAGATTGATCTGGATACCTACATACTTCAATATGCAGATGACACAACACTAATATCACATGGAAAAAACCTTCAAATAGCAATAGAATCACTCCAGACGCTATACAACAACATATAATCATGGTTCCACAATTCCGATCACACTCCAGAATGGCCGATCAATCCCAGCACATCCACATCACGACAGGCACATCAATTACAAAACCTATAAAAGTTGGTCAAATATCTGGACCTTCAAATAGCAATAGAATCACTCCAGACGCTATACAACAACATATCATCATGGTTCCACAATTCCGATCACACTCCAGAATGGCCGATCAATCCCAGCACATCCACATCACGACAGGCACATCAATTACAAAACCTACAAAAGTTGGTCCAATATCTGGACATAACACTGGACAGCAAGTTGAAATTCAAAGCACACTATAAAAAAGTACAAACAGAGATAACAAGACGAGCAAAGCATTTTAGATCATTGACCTACAACGTATCTTTGTAAAATCGGCGACACAGATTTATAAAAGTAAATGCCGACCACTCCTCGATTATGGACATCTCACAACTACTACTGTATATGTTCCCCGGAGTCAACAAAGGAAGTAATCAGGAAAGCAGAAAGAAAATGTTTACGAATTTTGACATAAATTAGACACCCGAACAATCAACTCCACAACATAAACAATGAGGATCTATATTCAAGAACGGAAGTAAAACCAATCTCAGTGAGGCATAAAATACTGAAAGAAAAATTCACACAGACAGAAAAGAATACCTGTTAAAGGAAATACAAATACAAGTTTAAAAGACCAAGTCGATAACCTAATCTCTAAAAAAACATACGAAGATGAAAAGAAAAAGAGAAAAACGGTTCAATTAGAGATAAAAGAATTAGCACATCTTTATCTGCAGCTGAAAATAAAAGGTGGGTTTTCATTTCGCAATTTGTGAAGGAAACGACGAAGACCAATGTGACACAGTACTTATCAGAAAACAACATTAGTATAATCAACTATGAAAAATTAAACATAAAGACGACTATCATAGTGGCATTCAAAATAAGTGTGTATGAAGATACATATGAGAGATTGTTTGACCCAGAGTTGTGGCCACGGAATGTTATTATTCGTCCGTATAGGCTGCGAAATTTTACGAAACATCGTCTGAATCAGGCGAACACGTAATAGTAAAGCCATCTGTAGCGGTCAATAGAAAATGTTTTTCAGTAATTCATCAAAACGTACAAAGTATAAGAAATAAAACATGATTTAGCGGTATTTTTAAAAAGCTTAAGGTCATCTATAGAAATAGTTGCATTAACCAAACACTGGATGAAAAATTGTGAAGATTTCCATATCGATGGCTACGATCGGGCGTCGTGTTTCAGTAGAAGTCAACTCCAACATGCAGGCTCATGTATTTTAATCAAAAAGGGACTAGAATACGAAGAACTGATGCCCTTGAAAAATCTTAGCAAGGAATTGGTTTTTGAGTGCAGTGCCATAAAAATCGTGTCAATTAAGTTAGTGGTAATCTGTATATATAGATCGCCATTGAGTGATGTAAATGAGTTTTTTCACTTGCTGGATGTGATGTGTCATTCGATAATAGGATTAACTTACTCTGTTTTTATATGTGGAGACTTAAATATAAATCTGGCAGAAACTACAACTCAATCCAGACAGCTAATAGAAACGATGATCAAATACAATTTTTGTCCTACAATTAAGGAACCAACCAAAGTGGCTAAGAAATCGAGAGCTGTAATCGATAATATCTTTTCGAATATTGAGGATTATAAAACAAAAGTCATAGACTTGGCTCTATCTGATCACAGGGCTTTGATGATCGAGTACACTCCAGTCGCGGCAATGGGTAAAGAAAGATAAATGAAAATGAAACAGAAAATAATTAATAGAAACAGTATGGAAGAAATAAAAAATTAATTATGTCTTGTGAATTGGTCAATTATCACGGACATTGATCAACCAGACTAATGTTATGATAAATTTTGCGACATATTAACATCTATTGTCACTAAGTGTTGCAAAGAGAAGGTTGTTGTATTAAACAATAATAAAACAGGTAACGATTGGATAACAGAAGAAATAAAGGAAAAATCGGCAATAGAACGACAACTTTATCAAGGAATTGTAAGAAGGAAAACAACACAAAGACACTTTAATGTGTGTTATATATCTGGGGAGTTTTGACATTCGTGGGTTGGTAATATGTTTTTCGACAGTTAACGATTCTCAACGACCGATTGCGTTTGCGTCAAGGTCTCTGACTAAAGTAGAAGCAAATTATAGCCAGATCGACAAAGAGACAACAGCTATAGTATGGGGGTTAAAGAAATTTTTCTTACACTGTTATGGACGACCTATAACACTGATAACTGATCATAAGCCTTTAACAAGAATTTTTCATCCAACAAAGGACTTGCCAGCAATATCTGCAATACGATTGTTGCATTATGCAAATTTTCTGGCAGGATTTAAGTACGGAATTCAATATAGAGAAACAAAAAAGCATGCGAATGCTGATTACTTATCTCGATTTTCAAGATCAAATTACGGAAAGGACGAACATTTGGATATAGATTCAACTTATGCCTTAAATCAATTAGATACTTTACCAATTGGACGAGAACAAATTCAAAAAGAAGCTCTTAAGGATCCTGAAACTGCAAAGCTTTATAAGAACACCCAAAGTGGATCTGAAATGGAAGCTGATGAGTTAGTCAGGCATTCCATAGAAAATGGATGTATTTTGAGGGGTATCCGTGTAGTCATTCCTAAAAAGTTACAAAAAGGGATTTTGGATGAGTTGCATATTGGACATACAGGTATAGTAAGAATGAAGAACTTAGCAAGAAGCTATGTGTGGTGGAAAGGGATAGATAAGGATATTGAAGGTTTAGTACGCGGGTCCGTTCCAGGAAAGGTATTTTCTAATAATAGTCG